CCCCGCCATCGCGTCAGCCGTCTAGCCCGGCGACAGGAGCAACAGCATAGCGCGTGCGCGCAGCGGTACCTAGAGCCCGCCCCTTGTGGCCACGCCCCTGCGTGGCCACGCCCTCCGAAGTGGCACGCCTCCGCCTCGGGCCTTTCCGCGTTCTCCGCCTTGCCCCCTTCTGGCCAATCACCGGATTCCTTTTGCGGGACACGCCCAGGCGGCTGTGCAGCGGTGACCCGGAAGCGGCAGGAGAGAAGCACCGCCCTCTTCGCTCATTGGCGGCTTCGCGCTCGTTGGGTGCCAATCAAGCCTCTAGATTTAATGACGAGCTTCCTCTTGCAGAGTTTACCGTCCCAGGGGGCGGCGAGACGGACCTTTTACTGCACAAGTATTTGAGGTGTAAATTACTTGTAACATTTACAGACGGTAAGTGTATGGCTAGATGCTTTTTATAAATGCAAACAGTTGTGTAATCGTCACAGAGCCTAGCTTTTTTTTTTCCTGGTAATTGAACCCAGAGCCTTCATGTTCACTACATCCCCAGCCCATTTTAAATTTTTTTAAATTGTGAGACGCGGTCTCTCTAAATTGCCCAGGCTGGGCTCCAGTTTGTGTTCCTCCTGCCTCAGCCTCCCAGGGCACTGGGATTACAGACGATCGCCACCTCTCCTGGCCTAGTTACTTATGTGGTACTGGGGACTGAACGCAGAGCCTTCACACTGAGCTACATCTTTTTTATGTTGAGATAAATCGCTAGATTGTCCAGGTTGGGCTCTAACTTCAATCCGCCTGCCCCTGCACGCAGCTAAGATCTAGTGTTAGACATTGGGTATGTTCCTGGTTCCGTTTTCAATCAGTACCTGTCCTGACCTCAGTCTCAGGCAAATGCTGATGTGTCTTTACGTCTTTACAGCTTGCAGGTACTAACTAGATGCCAGGCACTAGGCAGAGTTTTGAAGTTTAAAAGTTCAGTAGGAATGACTGACACTGTAATTAAACTATGAAGTGTTAAGGATTTTGACAAGGCAGAATCAGGTTTCCCAATTCAAATCTAACATGGAGGCCAGGGAAGGCTTATGATAGGAAACAGCTCCCACATTCACCTCCCCCTTGTCCTGTCCTCATGGCAGGGCTCCTTGCTGGGAGCTGGGGAGACTGGGTGATCAACCCAGATGCCTTCTGCCCCACCCTAGAAAGAGTTCTACCCAGAGAGGAACTGTCCACCCACCAGAAAGATGATGAGTGCCTTGAAATGAGGCTAAGGTTCTCCTGAGATAATTATTAGAAGGGAGACTCTTACTAGTCTCTTCCTCCAAGACCCTTCCCTGCCCCAGGCCCTGGCTGTTCCATCCTGAAGTGTTCTCCCACAGTCCCCTGTTCCGTCCCCACAGATCTCCAGACCTGACCATCTTGTGCCCCATTATTCCAACAGCCTCCTCACCAATGACCCTTTCTGTCCTTTCTCCCTGCCTTCTCCAGCTCTGTCCAGGGCTTGTACTGCTTCTAAAAAGTCCTAGCTCCCTTGCTTTCTCCTATTATCACTGTGTTACAGCCTGTTTCCCAACACTCTGTCCAGCCCCCAATACCTATAGCACCAGCCAAGTAGGCCTGCTGGCCAGTTCCTAAAAGGGTGCCGTGTTTCAGCCTAAGCAGTGCTCTAGCCAGTGCCTTTGACTACATGCCCTTCTACCCCATTCTCACCTTCTCAGATTCCAGCTACTTGTCAAGATTCAGCTCACATTTTTATTCCTTTGGGAAGTCCCCAAGACCTGGTTGCATGTCCCCTCTTTGACTCAAAGCCCCTGGCATTTGTCTCCCATCTTCCCGAGAACTATATCATATCCTTTACTGCTTTGTACCATGATGCCAGGGACCATTCTTAAATCTTTATTTCTGGAACAGAAACTAGTACAACAGTTTGGATAGGCTGAGGCAGAAGGATCACTCACTGCAAGTTCAAGGCCAGCCTGGGTTACACAGTGAGTTCAAGGCCACCCTGAACTACACAGTGAGACCCTGTCTCAAAAAACGAACAAACTGCACTCAGTAGGCAAGGAACCCAGTCAATTCATAGTCAAAGTCACACAAAGAAATTTAAAACAAGTTCAAGCTTAACTGTAATCAAATGTGTGCAAATTTTTTAAAAATAGAAAAATCTTTCACCCCGTTTGTTAGGGATCAGTTAAAACTCTAATGTTACACACTGTCCAATCTATGGTGAAATGCTTACACTCTTAAGTCTCCCCCTTAGGGATTGCTACACTCTTTTTGGAAAATACTTTAGCAATACGTCTTAAGAGCTGAGAAGTGTTCTTACTCTTTCTCCTAGTAAATCTATTCCTCAGAATTAAATCTCTTGAGAAACCACAGAAAGAAAAAAACCATCAGCACAAAGATATTCATTATAGGATTATCTATAATTTTGAAAATTAAATAAAGAGTCTTAATGATTAAAAAAGGAAATAGTTATGTAATTTAGGTTAAATTAATTGAATAGAGTACACAGCCCTCAAAAGTGGTCATTACAGACTCCTTAGCATCTTCGTAAATGTTTATGATTCAATGTTTTAAAAAATCAAAATGTAAAATGTTGTCTATGCTTGGCTACACCTTTCTATTTGAGAAAGATCTCTCCTGCAGTTTCTCCCCCACTCAATAAAATCCAACACCAGTCTTCTAGGTGCTCAGCCATAAGCTTGAAGGTCAACCCTATTTTTAAAATGGAGCCAGAATCGGACACTTCTCCCCTCCATTGGTGCTACCGCAACCTGGTCCAAGTCAGAGTCATCTATTGCCTGCACCAATACAGTACCTGTTATGGTTTGTATTTCATATGTCCCCTAAAGTCTCATGTGTCCAGAAGTAGGGTTTTTGGACATGCGTGGACCATGGTGGGAGTACTTTCTCATCAGTGTGTTGCTCCAATAATGATTTTGTAGCTGAACATGCTGTTAGGAGGTGGAGCCTGGTTGAAAGAGGCAGTCGCTGGGGTGTGACCTGAAAGGGTATATTCTGGACCCAGCTGCACCTCTCTCTCTGCTTCCTAGGTGCCATGAGGTGAGCAGCTTTCCCCCACCATGCCCTGCCACCATGATGTTTCTGCCTACTGAATCCCTGAACTGTGAGCCAGATGAAGCTTCTCTTCCCTTAAACTGCAGATGTTGTGTGTTGTGTCCCAATGATGGAAAAGCACACTAATACAGTAGCCTCCAAACTGGTCCCCCTTATTTTAACCTTGCCCTTTTCAAGTCCTTCTGCAAGAGGGATCCTGTTGAGACAGAAAGTAAGCTAGGTGTGGTGGTACACATCTGTGATCCCAGCTACTAGGGAAGCTGAGGCAGGAGAATTGCAAGTTTGAGGTCAGCATAGGCAATTTAGCAAGGTGGTATCTCAAGAAGAGGGGGCTGGGGATGTGGTTCAGAGCACTTCCCTGGCACCTGCAAGGTCCTGGATTCAATCCCCAGGACTACACACAGGAGGGAGGGAGGGAGGGAGGAAGGAAGGGAGAGAGTCCCTTTGCTCGAAACTGCCAGTGAGGGCCAGGGATTTAGCTCAGTAGTTCTGCTGCCTGCCTCACAAGTGCAAGGTCCCAAGTTCGAGCCCTGGTAAAAAACAAAAAGAAACTGCCAATGAAATCCATCCCCTCTCTCTCCAAGTAGAAACCAATACCCAGACAGTGGATTGCATGGCCCCAGATAACCTGGACCTTGTGCCCATTCTCTGCCTCACCTTCCATTGCTGTCCCAGTCTCTGTGCTGTGCACTGATCAGGCCATGTTTCCTTCCACCTCAGAGCCTGTGCATTGCTATCCCCAGTGCCTGGAAAGCTCTGAATGCAGCCTGTTCCCTCCACAATTCCTGCCCCAAGTCTCCAGCAACCACCATGCAGGACTCAATCTTACAGTCTTCCTGCCTCAGACTCCCAGAGCAGTGGGATTACAAATGTGCATCACCACACCTAGCTCACCAGTGTACCTTTTGCCTCTATGGATTTACCTACTCTGGGTATTTCATATAAAAGGAAACACACACATGTGTTTTTTTGTGACTAACACCTTTTACTTACCATGTTCTCAATACCTATGCATGATGTAGGATATGTCAGTACTTTACTCCTCATCTGGCCAAGTCCATTGTATGGATGCACCATATTTTATTCATCCATACAACAGCTGATGAACATTGGAGTTGTTTCCACATGTTTTAATTTATTGAATCCAGGGCCTTCTATATGCTAGGCAAACACTCTATCACTCAGCTGTTCCCTCAGCTCTATTTCCACATTTTGACTATTATGAATTCTAAGTTCCTTCATTTTTCTTGAAATGGATGCTGCTTATGCAATAAAAATTACGTCTTCCAGAAAAAATCCTTGTACTCTGACTTTCTGTCAGTGTGTGTATTGCCTAAAGCACATCCACACTCACAGTCATACAGAGTTACAATGTGGAACTAACCTTTTCCTGGAGGAGTGAAAAGATGCATGAGATATGTTTTCTTTTTTTCTTTTCTTTTTTTCTTTCTGGTACTGGATTGAACTTGGGGCCCTGCACTTGTGAGGCACCACTGAGCTAAATCCCTGGCCCAAGATGTGTCTTCAAGGCAGCCATTTCTCCTTTTGTCACAACTCCCTGTAGTATGCAGGGGGCTGCCATTGGTGCATGGGAGGGTGCTAGGCCCTGAGGAGACTTGCTTTCAATAGTGCAATGACTTTAGATCACAGAAACTTGTCTTGAATCTTGGGGTTTCCATAGACAGGGTGTATTTATCAGCTTTCCTGTGTCTAGGACAATGCCTAACATTCACAGTTTAAAAGAGGAGGAGATATTTAATTTAGCTCATGGTTTCAGGGGATTCAGTCCATGGTTGGCTGGCTCCAAGTTAGGAACATCATGATGGAAGGGTGTGGCTGGGCAAAGCTCCTTGACTCATCATGGCCAGGAAGCAGACCAGGGGAGCAGCAGAGAGGAAGGGACAAGGGATCAAAGTTCACACCTCCATGATCCACCACACACACAGAAATGTGCTCCACCAGTCCCCTGGATGGTTCCCAAGACAAACAAGTTGATACAGTCAAGCTTAACTATCACATCCTATGCATGTTGGGCTGCTTTGAAATTTCATTCATCAGATCAATTAGTTCACTGCCCTTACTCTCAGTTTCAGAACATGGGCAAAATGTAGACAGTATTTTTCTCAGAGTGCAACACACATGGCCTGGAGTCCAACTGCCAACAGAGTCCTTCCTTCCAACCAAAAAGTCCTAAGCCTGGTCTTTACCATCTGTATTTTTATCAATACTCTGGTCTTCTGTGCTTTGACCAGAATTCCCCTGGCTCCTTGGCTTATAGCATTCTAGGGCTTTGCAAGCCAGCATCTCCAAACTCCTTTCCAGACTCCTCCTGCAAAACACTTTCAAAGACTTCTAAACCACATGACCAAAGGTAGCCACAGAAATGTCCTCATTTCTCTAATAACAAAATCTGTCTCATTCACTTTCCTCATTACCAAGACAAATTACTTGACATCCACAACTTAAAGGAGAAGTTTATTTTGGCTCACATTCTCAGTTCATAGTCGTCTACCTCCTAGGTAGAAATGACACAACGCAAGGATTTGGGTGGAGGAAACCTTCTCAGATCATGAAAGCCAGGAAGTAGAGAAAGAGAGGAACCAGGGACAAGAAGACATTCTTCCAGGTCAGGCCCCTGCTCACCGGCCTCTAACCAGGACCCCCTGCCTCTAATGCCATACTCTTCTACTAAACTCATTAGTGGATGAATAAGTATAATTATCTTATAATCCAATGACCTTCCCAAAGCCCCACCTCTGAATATATGAGTCTCTTGGAGGATATTCTAGATCTAAATCATAACATAACCATGCTTTCTAAATCTCTGCAATTGCTCAGTTTTGACAAGAAAGCTTTGATGACACCGACTCCATCTACCTGTCTCATCTTTTCCAGTGTTGAACATGTTCTGACCATCACTGGGTAAAGCTACCTTGGCATCAAGGCACAAGGCCACATATGGTTACATTTGGCAATGCTTTCACAAAAGAAGAAAATGCATTCAGAGACAAGGGAGGAAGTTGTGAGCACCAAAGAGTCACCTGTGTGTCAACCCTACCAAAATAAGTAGTGTTGCAGAGGTTATGAAAGGTTCTTATGCATGATTATCAGAAGCAAAAGTGGGGCTGGGGATTTAGCTCAGTGGTTCTACAACCTGCCTTGCAAGTGCTAGGTCCCAGATTCAATCCCCTGGTACCCATCCCCCAAAAAAGCAAAAAGCTTTTCCAAAGCTGACTGGCTTCCTGACTTTTGTATTTGACCATACTATCTTTAGCAGTAATTTTTTCAGGCTAAAGCATTCATTCCACTTCCCTTGCTTGTGCTCCAGCTGCCTTTGATGGAGCCTGTGCCCCAATTCAGCCTTAAACCAATAGCTAGATGCAGCTCCTCAGGCCCTCATTATTGAGAGCTAAACAACAGCAAGATGGGGAGTTGTAACTGGCATGGAAATATAGTACTTTAAAAGTTAGATTTTCTACCTTTAGAAATGAGTGTCTCCTCCAAGTTTTCTCAGGCCTAGGGCATAAATTGCCACCTCCACCTTTCCTCAGCCCAGATGCATGAGTATTTTAAAGACATCTGAAAGAGAGTAGGAACGATTTCAGGATGTGATAGGTAATCTTGTCAAGTTGATTGGATTGAGAACACCTAGGAAATTAATAAAGCACATTTCTGGATGTGTCCGTGAGGATGTCTCCAGGTAAGACTGGCATGTGGGACAACACATTGATGGGGAGACCAGCCCTGAATGTGGGTGGCACCATCCAATCAGGTGGGTGCCTAAATGGAACAAGAGCAGGAGGCAGCCCACTAGACAGGCTATCTCTATCTCTACCTGTATCTTTCTCTCCTTCATGGCTTCCATGAGGTGTGCATCTTTTTTCCACCATGCCCTCTGCCATGATGTTCTGAACCTACCCCAGACCCACATGGTGCCAGTTGACTATGGACTGAAACCTCTGAAACCACAAGCCAACGTAAATCTTTCCTCCTTTAAGTTGTTATTCCCAGATACTTTGTCATAGTGACAGAACACTGACCACACAGAAGGCTTTGGGAAGAGACTGACCCCCTATTCCCTCAACAATAGGTAGTTACCATAAGGTCTAGGAACTTATATCCAGAAAGTCTTCTGGAGAGGCTCCAGAACAGGCCAGCAGTTGTCATCACAAAGGAAGAAAGGGGTTTCACTTTGTTTCTGGACCAAAGGGCTGGTCAGTTGATCCCCTAGCAGGAAAATCTTTTCCAGGCCAGAGTGTTTGTAGATCTAGTTGATTCCATGTGTGAATGGGTCCAAGAACATATATTGGGGCGGGGATGGGGGTTGGATCCAAGACCTTTACACTGAGTTCCATCCCCAGCCCTTTCTATTTTTTGAGACAGAGTCTTAAGTTGCCCAGGCTAGAGTTGAATTTTCAAATGTATCAGCTTCCCAGAGTGTTGGGATTACAGCCATTATTCTTTTAAATAACCCTGATTTCAATTTAGTAAGACCCTGCCCTAGACCCTGGGGATAGAGAGCCAAGAAAAAGTCCCAGCCATTCTATATTTTGGTGATTAAGAGGAAATAATACCCCACCAAAAGAGACAGTCCCAGGCTATGTATTGATTTAACCACCAGATACTGCATACATTAAGAACCTACTGGGCCAGGGATTTAGCTCAGCGGTTCGGTGGCCTGCCTTGCAAGCGCAAGGACCTGAGTTCAATTCCCAGTACCAAAAAAAAAAAAAGAACCTACTGTGTGTATAATGCTAAGATGCAGAAAAATTACACAGCTGTTCAGTGCTAGGGTATAGGCCAGGTTAAGCAAGGGGCAGCAGGTGTTGGGGAGTAACTGAGGCAAACACAGTAACTGTTCACAGGACACAAACAGCAGCTACTTCAGGGTTTCAGGATGACAAAACTATAGACAAAGGAGGAAAGAGACAGGGTCTTGCTAAGTCACCAAAGTGGCCAATCTGAGATTGAATTCATCCTCTTGTTTCAGCCTCCCACAGTGCTCTGATTTCAGGCATGCACCATGCTGACTCCTTTTTCTTGAAAACTTAAGTGATGAAATTATCAAGTGGGAGCTGCCCTCCCTAAACCAGGAGAAAAGAAATATTATCAAGGGCAGGTTGAGACTAAGATAATTCTGCACAGATCTTATTAAAGTAATATTTTCTTTTAGTTTCCCCATTTAATCCTGACTTTCCCACAGCCGCCTCTGTTTTGCCATTCTCCGGGATTTGGCTTCCTTATGAGGCCTTCATGTCCTGTAAATCTAACATTCAATACCTCTGTATGATTGTCTACTTCGAACCTGTGGTAATTTAGTTATTTCTCAGTCCCAGCCCAACATCCTACCAGGGTAAAGTTTTCTCTCCTTAACATGGCATACGCTTAAAACCCCAAGAAAACGTCATGGCTTTTGCCACACTTCCTTGGACACCATGAGTCCTTTCCATCTCACTGGAACCGAGCTGACCCTGTTCTCCTCCCTAAGGGACGCGAGAGAAGGCCCGCGAGGTCAGGGCTAGGTGAGGACAGCCTGGGGGGACAGCGGCCCGACCACGCCTTCCCAGAAGAGACAGGCCCCGGCAAGGTCGCGCCAAGGTCGCGCGAGGGGGCGTGGCTGCCGTCGGGACCC